ACTAATAAACATTTATCATATAAATGTTTTCCTATATAATATCTAATATTATATGCAAACATGTTTCAAGTTTCTAACAATTAAAGTCGTCTAAACGAATTTAGACAAATTGATCGGAACAATTAAATAATTAATTAATCAAATTAATCAATTAATTTAACTAGCGGATTTATTTAATTAAAATCAAATTTTAATTAAATACTGAATTAGAGTCGTACTCTAATTTAATTGAATTAATATTTTAATTTATGATAAAACTCCAAAACAAAATAAAATTCAATTTATGGTCAAAGTTTAATATTTAAGTTAAAATCCAATTTTAACAAAAATATAAAAACTCGTCAATTTTAAATAAAATTTTAAACAGGTCAAAATTGAAGTTTTAGGGTCAAACCATTTTAAAATCTAATTGAAAATCCTTTTAAATTTAAATTCAAAATCATTTTGAAATTTGCAATAAGACTCCAAGTTTAAAATTACTAACAGATCCTTTAATTATATTAATTGCATGACAAGCCCTTTTTTAAAAAAATTGCAAACTTGACTCTTATTCTATAATTGCATGCAGGGGCCTGCAATTCATAAAATTGCATCAGAGGCCCCCACCTCCAATCACAACACCCGTAACAGAAACCCTAGAAGATCTTTTTTTTTCTTTTGGTTGGCGCCGCATGGATATATATTTATTGCAGCGCACGCTGTAGTTTTATGTTGCAGCGGTGTTTGCATCACTGCGTTTGGCAACAACAGCACGTGACCTGCTGTCGCGTGCTGTCTTGTTCCCTGCGACAGTGCGTCGCAGTGCGCGTCATTGTAGGGTTCGACGACGGTGTTGCCATCGACGACGCTGACGCCACCCCGTTCCTGATCCGTTTTCAACCCAAATTTTTTTTTTTTCAAAAATAGATTTTTGAATATAAAATTAATTTTGTAAATTGCTAGATTGAAAAAATAATAATAACAATCAACTTTTGACTGTTCTAACAAGTAAGAACAATTTCTAACAAATACAAAGTAGGCTCTGATACCACTGTTGAGAATTTACATAATCATGCACAGTGGAAAATAAAATAATTTCAATTCCACCACGGATCTGCTTTGTGTTTAGATAAAAACTATGATAAGAATTATACATTTGATGAATTCCACAAGCTCCTTTGCTTTTTTTGAACTCGAATGATCGCGATCTGCAATCCAAACTATCCAATTATCTAGTCTCCAACGGTAATCCACACAGATAACAAGAATGACGACTATGGTTTTCTTTTTTTGTGTTAACAAGAATAATGATTTATTTCATTCAGTTTTCGAACCTTAGCAGCCTATTAATATAAGTTCAAGTGGGTTTGGCTCGTCTATTAAATTTAACCCGGTCCAATATTTATTTAATCAAATTAATTAAATCTGGTTCATGAATTTATTAATCCAATTAATTAATTTGGGACATATTAATAAGAAACTCATTTAATTAATTATTCAACACTTGTCAATTAATTAATTGATAAATTTCATTCTTCTGGTTCTCTTTTGTGTGTGACCCATTAGATTCCCCGATCACAATACCAACGATGTGAATTATTATCTTGATCTAATCAAAATTGATAAATTAAAATACCTCTTTTAATTTATCATCAATTCATATCCGTCATCCCAAATTGACATCTAGCAATGTGTCGGGCAATACACGTAACGCGAAATGTCACCTGGTATGACAAAATCAAATTTGTTCGTTTAGCGTGAAACTATAATCTTTTCGTCAATATGATTCGATTAATTATGAGATATGGATATGTGTCAATCTCAATTATGGATCATTTCTTTTATCTCACTGTTAAGTCAATGTAAGTCGAAAACTCATTTTCGACTTATGAGCTCACATTGGTCAAGGATTTCATTATCAAGTTAACTGGATAAAATGTAGATTATAATGTCTTACTATCTAAGAATGACAAATCCTGTATTGATCATTTATAACCTTCATATGATTCTTAACATACTCGAACAATACTGTATTAGCGACCATTGGCAGAGCAACATCCAATATCACCAAAGTATGACTGTTCTCATATAAGACACTATGCTGACCTCAAGTCATTGACCAATTCTACTACCGAACGTTAGAGATTAACCACTGACATTCAGACAGTTATCTATATGGAATCTCCAGGCGGGTCTCCAATGTTTTGTTTTATAATAAAATATCTACGTGCTCATTCAAATGTCACCATACTTTAACTTGTGAGTTCATCTACTTACATCATAAGTAAGGAATGTCACACGTGATGGTCTATCCGTAATAACGATATCCGTATCTCGTTATTAAATACGACAACGGACGATTTAAGTTTCAGTCGAATGTAATTTGTATCTCACAATCACAATTCCTTGTGATTAACAAATCACTAAAACTTGAATCAACGAATTCTATTATTTGATTTATTAGAATATTAATTTAATTAAATTATAGATATTGTCATAAATACGCATTGATAATATATATTAAAAGTGTTTATGTTTCAAAATTGATAGGACTTAGGACATAACACTTACAATTGTAACACCACCAGCTGGAAGCCCTCATTCACGTGATTCTTCCTCAGTATCTGTGTTTTCAAGTTTCACTTTTATTGACAACTTTTATACAAAACAAAGTCAAAATGATATTCAGTATGGTAAATTTTTTTTTTTTTACAATTGGAACAAATTTAAGACCAAATGGTAGAAAAAATTATCACTTTAATGGACAAATTTTATAAAAAACAAAGCCAAATGGATACCAAACTTTCAACATTTTCCATGAAAAATTATATCAATCAAACATAATTAATTACAATTTTCAATAAAACATTTTCTAGGAAAATCAATTCTCTATAAAACATTTTCTTTTCATCAATTTTCCACCATTGCAATCAAACGGACCCCTAGTTATATAAGAAGGAAATAGGATAAGGAGCATTCACAATAACAATGATTCAATTTTTTCAGCATTTCAAATTTATTTATTTTGTCATACTGTTTTACATAATGAAATCAATTGATTTATTTGAGACGTTGGCGATAGTTCTAGAGAACCATTTGTAAGAATTAAGTCCTATGCAACACTTTCCTGATCTATCTAGCAGAAAAGCTACTTTGTCAAAGCATCTTGGAAAAGTTGAATATTCAAGTCATGTGTAAATGTATGGACGTCCTTAAACTAGAAAGTAGAAAGGAACGAATACAAAGTCAAATCAAAAACTCAAAATTCTTGATTCATTAGGGAGAAATTTCTACGTAATGTGGCATAAAAAATATTTTGAATTGAGATGTCATCAATGTATCTCAGAAAATGGCAATAATATAGAAGTGGATGCATATTTTAAGAATATATCAAATAATTATATGTTATTTATGTTCATTGGAGATGACCATCGATATATATGATAGGTGGTGTACAATAAAATAATAAGACTAATTAAATAAATGTATACGAAAATTGACTTTATTAATCTTATAGTTTATTGTTACTTCATATCTAATGAAAATAAATCGCATTTCTCAAATAGCTAATGGTTAATTTTCTTTGCTAAAAAAAATTATTTAAAAAATATTTTGTAGCGTGATTGGTAAGTCAAGCGCCAACCTTGAATGGTTTATGTAGTATACAGAACTGTAGTTGAATGAGTCTTTTCTCTTGCTGCTTCTTCTAGCTTCCGAATTTTCAAATGTGATATAAATGAATCGGAGCCAAAGCTTACCATTCAAGTCTTGTTGAAAGCTCAGGCACTTAATTTCCCTTCACACGTTACGACCATTCCACAACCCGTTAGACCGTTACTATATATAGCTAGCATATGAACAGCATTGCTATATTCACAAGTAGATTCACATATATCAGTAGCAATTTTCACATTAAGTTCAAAAATACATTTCACGCTACGAAAAAAGAGGAGTTTGAGAGAGATGAATAGTTATGCAAGTATGATTGGTTTTGGTGTTATTTTTGCAGCTATGGTGCAATACATAGGTGCTCAAACTGTACATGTTGTTGGAGATAGTGTGGGTTGGGACATACCTCCAAATAGCTCAGTCTCATACGCCAATTGGGCTTCTGGCAAAAACTTCATGGTTGGTGACATCCTAGGTAATTTGCTCATTTTTCTTTTTCCTCAAACTATCGACTTTATTAAGAATAGTATTCCAAAACCTCATATGCAACAGCATGATAATAGTAAAGATTTTGCTACTTACAAATAAAAAACGTACATAATGGATTACATAATATGACTTGAAGAAAAAAATTTGGATAAAAAAGTTGACTGTGCTTTAAATTGACAAATGGTAGAGTGTAATGTGTCATTATGTAATCCATTATTTAAATTTTGATGTACACGTAACAAGATAGTAATTAGCATGGGTTGGCATAAATAATTCAATATGTCCGCATATGCTAATTTTGGCATTTTCATCTCCACAAGTATGCTCGGGTGTGCAATGTGTATAATATTTTGATTCTAATAAAACAATAACCATGTTATTCCATCCCAAATATCATTATAATTCTAGCTAATTTATTTTTGCGACGTGTTCTTGATCAATAATTAGTAGTCTTGAGTTTTTACTACAAAATTGTAATATTTGTGTATCCACGCTTTTTTCAGTGTTTAACTTCATGACCAACCAACACGATCTACTACAAGTACCAAAATCCTCCTATGATGCATGCAGCGACGACAATGCCATAGGCAACGCCATCACAACTGGACCGGCAAACGTAACTCTCGACTCTTCAGGCGAGCACTACTACATTTGCACCTTCGGCAGTCACTGCCAAGTGGGCCAGAAGCTTGCCATAACAGTCTCAAGCACGCCAGGGTCCAATCCGCCCACTTCCAGCCCACCAACCACCCCTACAACCCCTTCTCCCACCTCGACTCAGCCGGATGCATGTGCACCTACTCCATCTTCAACTCCAAATGCTGGTGGGCCTACGGCTTCGGCAACACCACCTGCTGGCACCCCTCCTCCTCCTCCACCACCTTATTCTTCCTCGACATCTGTGTTTGCAAGTTTCTTGCCAGTTCTGCTTTCCATTGGAGCGGCCTTAGTTACTTAAGAAGGGAATAGGATGAGGAGTATACACAATTACTTATGATTCAATTTTTTCTGCACTTTAATTTTATATTTGTTATACTATTTTAGATAATATTCAGTTTCTTTACTCTGGGCACTAGTATGAGATCAATAAATTTATTGTGGACCTATTATTCTGTATTATTAAATAAAATTATTGTTATTTGCAATTATGTCTTACAATTCAATCCAATATTTAAAATTAACATGATAAATACATATGAATTTACTTTATAGTAAGAATTTCTTGAATAATTTGAAATATAAATTTAGTTTGGTGATTGGGTATAGGTAAACCACCTGTTTCACTTCAAAGTCGGGCTCTTGGCGACCTTCGTGCTTTAGTAGCTCCTATTCTTCACCTAAGTCTTGTGGTTCGTGAAGCTGAAAGATTGCTTCATTCCTTTAATTCAAATGTTTACAACGTTGGTATTCAAACTACCATTTGAGTCTTATTGATTTAAAATATGGATCTAAATAATAAGTTAATTTCAACATTGGTTTTATCTTCCTGATTTTTTCAATTTCGGATCAAATTATCTAATCGAATATCCGATAACATAGTAAATTGAATATGGATTTATCAATCAATTTTAGTTGGATTATCGGATCGGATCGAATCCATGAATTATTCTAATCGGATCGGATCAAATATGTGCAGATCTGATCCATTTGCAGCCCTACGTATGTATATGATTTTACAAATTAGTGCATTTATCTATTGATTAAATAATTTTTAATATTATTTAATTAAATATTAATAAACGATCTCGTTATTTTGCACGTTGACGATTGGCTGTCAACGGCGGTCCTAACTTACCAACAATCCTGAAACCATCACTGCATGAAACATAACTTCTATAGTCATTAATTTTAACTTAAGACCTCCAATCATTTCAAATTTAGTACAATGACGTCTCATTTTAAAGGTGTAAAAATCTATTTAGGTCATTAGTATGACTATGAATTTTTATGAATTTAATCAGTTATTATATTATATATTCATCAGATCTCAAAGAATTTTTAAAAAAAATTATTATCTTATGCATTTAGTGGGGTTATTAATTAGTACAGCGGTTCAAGTTGCAATCGAAAAATTGTATTATTTAAGTGAAATTATTAATTTATCGAATATTCATTTATTGAGATTTTACTATATCCTTAACTTTTGTAAGGAATTTGGGTCACGGCTTCAAACCCGGGAAATTGGATCCATTTAATTGTTCTTTGATGGCATGAACCACGTAGTTTTTACTCTTCCAAAGAATACGTCAATTTGGATAATGAATCTCCTTTCATCTTCTCATTCATCTTATGTTTTTTATTGTTATTTTCAAGAAACGTATTTTCTTCTTTTCCTAGTTGTCTTTGTTTTGGCTATTATCTTACTACTTCAACAGGCGGAAAAGATTATACTATATAATTGTAAAATAACTTTTTAAACTCATATATAGGACTTCAATGTGCATATTCTCACTCCAATTATTTTTGGTGTACAAAAGGGAAATTGGGTCCATTATTAGTTCTTTAATGGATTTTGTGTTATGCACAATTACACAACTAAATAAAAAAACAATAGTCTCCTAGAAGGAAGGAAAAACACTCCAAGCCAGAACATCACTTCGACAATTGATTACCCCATAATTTTGGGTTCTATTCAACCAAAATTCCATGCAATACATAAATATACATCATTAGGAGAAGACATCTCACCCATTAGGATGGGCCAAATGTCTTTTCATCGAATGTAATTATTCCTCATCTTCTACTAGGGTTGGGCATTGGTTGGGTTGGATCGATTTTTTATCCAACCCAACATGCTTAGTTTGACCTAAAATCAAACGACCCAATCCAAACCGATCAAGTTTAGGTTGGGTTGGTTGGTCGATTTGGTTTTGGGTTCAATTCAAGTTGGATTAGATTATTTTTTGTTGAATTTGGGTAATTTTTTAAAAATTCGAAGCCACTTGAAAATCTCTGATTTTCAACCTATATAAGGAATTCTTTTTGAAAAATAATGTATAAATATGTTTTAAACTATGGAGCATTTTCCTTTTACAATTTTTTGAGATTTATTCATTTTATTATCTTGTCCTTAAATTTTAGTTAATCGTTAAATTATTTTGCATTTGTACAAAGTATTCATGCCAGTCAATCTATGTAAATAAAGGGGGGACGTTTGTACATTACAAGTCCTTATCTTGTCTTTACTATTGTGTCTATTTAGGTTTTTTCATTTTAAGTATTAAATTTTTTTAAGGGAAAATTGCAGCTGCGGTCCCAAATCTTTCAATTTTTTGTAAACTTTACCCTAATCTTTAGTTTGTACCACCAAAGGTCCCAAACCTTTTAGAAATATGCAGTAGGGGCCCAAATGGTGAATAGCAGTGAAATTTTAACATAAGCATTCTCAAACAAGTTCCCATCTTGCTAGAGTTTGTTATATATAGTAATGAACATGTATTCCTGTCCCCAACCTTCAGTAGATAAGCAAGTCCGATTCATCTAGAGTTAGACGATGGTTATTCCCTAAATACAAACATTGCTTCTTCTTTGGAAAAAAGAAGTTCATAACCTATGAGCCTTCTACCTCCAAACAATATTGCTTCTACAAGCTTTCACAAATTCAAACGAGAAGTCAAATTTAATACAAGTATTTTTAAATAAGTCACTATTTTACAATTCCTAATACAGTCGATATTTTAAGATGAACGTGAAAATTCAGTAGAAAAAATACGTGAGTTATAATTTCTTCATTATGGTTGTCATCACAATTAACATTAAATTATATAGAAAGTACAAATGTAAAATTCAAAAGAAATAATATCGTCGGTGGCTTTAATTTATTAGTCAAGATCTTGAAAGAAAATCAAAACCACAAAAAAAAGGTCAACAAAATTACATCGATTGGCTAAATTACATCGATTGGCTTTAATATCGTCGGTTCTAGAGCTTTTTGCATGGTATTTGTGTTGGATTCCGTCCATTTCAGGGGCAATTTCAGTTCGCCTGCCCAGCTTCAGTTTCGCCCAGTCACATGCAGTTCCGTCCGGGTTACTCAAGCTCGGCTTCATTATTTATTCTGGTTGTAGTTTATTCTGGGAGCTGGATTTGGGTGTTTTGCTTGGTCAACTAACCGTGGATCTCTACTGTATATTTCTGAAAGGTTTGGGACCTGTAATGGTACAAACTAAATGTTAGGTAAAGTCTACAAAAAAAATTGAAAGGTTTGAGACCTCAGCTGCAATTTTCCCAATTTTTAATACATTTTGTTAGGTTCGATTTTAATACATAGCCCCCTAACTTAATTTGACCTTAAATTTGATTTTGCAATCCAACCCAAACCTATTGAACTTAAAAAACTCGACCAGTTTGGGTTGGGTTAGTCTGTTTGAGAGGTTTGGGTTGATTTTGTCTAGTCCTGACTATAAAAGCTAACACTTAATGCCTTTTAAATGTAATGCAATTTTACACATTCTAAGTAACATAACTCTTTCATATTTGTTCTCTCGTACCCCCGGTACCCGAATACAGTAGTGAGTCACGTCTTGTGCACATCCCACACTCAAACATTGCAACTGACTTGATTTTTGGAGTTTACTCGTCATCTTCCTCACCTCCGAAGAAAGCCACTTGTTTCTAATGATTTGTCTTAATGAGCAGAAGAAAGGCCACGAGAATGTGAGTGGAACCAAGATTTGTTTGCCACGTCATTCATGTAGAAATCGAGGTCAATAGATTCGATAAATTCATTTACACTTGCAAATCCAAGTCTGAGTTCAAAAATTATTCTAGTAGCAACTAATTTTTTATTTTTTAAATTTATTTTTATCTAAATTTACAAAGTAAAGGGTTGAAAAATCAGATTGATGTATTACTTTTTATCAATGTTCTAATAAATAAGGTATATACTTTACACCAATTCAAAAATCAGGTTTATAGTTTGAAAATTCAAAAATCAGATTTTTTTTATTTATGAAATAATAAATTATTAAATCAATTTATTATTAAATATTTAATTCTAACATAATATAATTAACCCACACATGCACAACCTATACCACTCCCGTTACTATTCCGACGACCATTCCGACCACCACTCTTCTCCGATGACTGCTCCGATTCAGGCAATTATTCCGGTGATCATTCTGGTCACAAATTTACAATTTACGGTCACAGTTCAAAAGTTTTATAGGTCACATTAATTCGTTAGTCACAGATTTCAAAATAGTTGGTCACAGATCAAAATTTATAAGTCACATAGTCACAGATTTCCAAAATAATTGGTCACAAATAAAAAAATTGCCGGTCATAATTTATCTATTGGTCAAAGGTTTCCAGATTTGTTGGTCACAAATTACTTTTCAAGTAACAGGTTATCAAATTTTAGCGTCATAGTTTAATACTTGGTCACATATAACCAAGTAATTGGTCACATACACCAAATAGTGGTCACACACCACCGTCCTCAACACTACCACCATCGCCACTGCCACCACCTCCACTCGTCTTCGCCGCTGCGAAATCCACCACCATCCTGTCACTATCACCACCACCATGACAGCACCACCACCGACACCAACACCACATCACCACCACCAAATCGTCACTAGCAAATCCAATCAACTGCCAACAAAAATACACCACCTAACAAAAAACCCAAACCCGTCACGGCCACACCACACGGCCCCCACCATCAACTGTACACAACCAATAAAACTCCACAATTAAACCACCACGACGTCACCCCTGTGCCACCGCCTGCAGAATCACCACCTACCTTCACATCAACAACGCCCCATGGCAGCTACAGATCCGTCTGAAAATGTCCCCAGCACCACGATGCAACACCATTGTCACCAGAAGCAAAACAACCACCAGGCAGCACCACAACACAACACCACATATCCATCTGAATATGCGGCAGCCACAGCACCGTCTGAAAACGTCCCCAGATCCATCTGAATTTTGAAGCCACTGCTC